CTAGACACAGCCAGTAAGATGTCTCACATACACTTCCTATTTTTTTGTAAGTTTATTTATTTTGAGAGAAAGAGAATATGAGCAGAGGAGGGGCAGAGAGAGAGGGAGAGAGAGAATCCCAAGCAGGCTCCAGCACGGAGCCCAAAGCAGGTGAGATCGTGACCTGAGCCAAAATCAAGAGTCAGATGCTTAACTGAATGAGTCCCTGTGTTTCATATTTAACACAGCCAAAAGCAAACTTGATCCTCCCATTTATACCTACTTCACCTCTAAACTTATCCTCTAGTTCTTCCCATCTCAAAATACAGATTCTTACCCCAGCAATCTAAATATTCACATCATACCCCAGACTCATTCTTGTCATTTCCTTCTCTTCTCCCTTAACCCATCACATCCAATCTACCAGCAAACTGTCAACTCTATCCCCAAGGCATAGTTCAAATGTATCCACTTCCTGCCAACCAACAATCACCATCAACCCAGAATAAGCTACTCTCATGAATTTCTGTAGCAGCCTTCTGACTCATCCCCAAGTTTCTCTCCCCACCAACAGCCCCCAAAATCTGTCTTCACATCAGAGCCAAAAAGTGATCTTTTCAGAACGTAAATAAGATTCTATCACTCCCTTGCTTAAAACTTTCCAATAGCCTCCAATGTACTTTCTTCCATATCATGGTCTACAAAGGTCCTACTACATTTTTTCCTCATCTCTTACCATCCTCCCCATTATCCACTGACCACACTTCTTAAATATGCCAAGATTTTTTCAGATTCAAGGCGTTGAACACACTACTCCTATTATTCGAAATGCCCTATACATACTTCCTCCTTTCCTCTTCCCTCACTTTCAACCAGCCTTTACTAAGCATTCAGTTACATAATCACTTTTAGAAACTGCCAGAGGTACTACTTATCACCATCAGTTCTTTAAATTAGTTATGGGTATATTCCAGAATAGTTCGATGTGGGGCACCTGGCTAGCTCAGTTGGTAGAGCCTGTAACTCTTGATCTTGGAGTTGTAAGTTTGAGTCCCACCCACATTGGGTGTAGAGATTAAACATAAAATCTTAAAAAAAAAAAAAAAAAAAGGAATAGTTCAATGTGTACATTCTAGAAACCCTTGAGAATATTTCTTAATATCGAAAACTTGATAAAAATGTAGAATTCTATCACAACTGGAAATGAAAACAGGCATCAACTATTATCCTATTATATATGACAAAAAATAAATCCAGGGAAATTAAATAACTTGCCTATTTTATAAGGCTAAGTGATAGGTCTTCTGACCCTGTGTTCAGTAAACTAGTCAACCCTCTTCCAATTCTGTTTATTACATTTCCACTTTCTTTAAGATAACCTCAATCATTAAAAAAAAAAAAAAAGTCCTGAAATTCATATGGGATGACAAAGGGCCTCAAAAGTCAAAACAGTCTTGAGAAAGAGCAAAGCTGGAAATATCCCACTTCCTTCAAAACATACTACAAAAGTACAGTAATCAAAATAGTACGGTACTGGCATAAAGACAGACATATATATAAACCAAGAGAACAGAATCAAGAGCCCAGAAATAGATTCATGCATATGTAGTCAAATGATCTTCAGCAAGAACAGCAACACTATATAATAGGAAAGAGACTATACAATCTCTTCAATAAATGGTGCTGGAAAACTGGATTACCTACATGCAAAAGAGTAAAACCGGACCCTTATCTTACATAACATAAAAAAAAAAACAATTCAAAATGACTTAACTCAAAAAAAACTTAAATGTAAGACCTGAAACTACAAATTTCCTTGAAGAAAATATAGAGAAATAGTTTCATAATATTGGTCTTGGCAATGATTTCTTGGGTATGACACCAATAGCACAAATAATAAAAGCAAAAATTAGACAATTTGGAGAATGTCACACTAAAAAGCTACTACATGGCAACAACAGAAAAATCAACAGAATGAAAAGATAACCTACAGAATAGGAGAAAATACCTGCAAACCATATATCTGATAAGGAGTTAATATCTAAAATACATGTAACTCAACAGGGGGTAGGGGGCCTCAATCACTTTATACTGGCTTAAAAAAATGGGTAAAGTATGTGAACAGACATTTCTTCAAAGACACATACTGGTATATGAAAAGGATGCTCAACATCACTAACATCAAAGAAACCTATCACAAAACTACAATGATGTTCCACATCACATCTGTTATGATAGCCATTATCAAAAAAGAAAATAGTAGGTGTTGGCGAGGATATGGAAAAATTAGACCCTTTGTGCTCTATTGACAGGAATGTAAAATGATGCAGCTCCTATGGAAAACAGTATGGAAGTTCCTCAAAAAAAAGTAAAATAGAACTCTTATGACCCAGTAATCCTACTTCTGGGTATTTACGCAAAAGAACTGAAAACATTATTGGTAGCATTATTCACAATAGCCAAGACATGGAAAAAAACCTAAATGTCAATCAGTGGATGGATGGATAAAAGCAATGTGGTATACACCTACAATGGAATATTATTTAGCCTTAAGAAAGAAGCCTCGGGGCACCTGGGTGGCTCAGTTGGTTGAGTGTCCGACTTCAGCTCAGGTCATGATCTCATACTCTGTGAGTTTGAGCCCTGCATCAGGCTCTGTGCTGACAGCTCAGAGCCTGGAGCCTGCTTCAGATTCTGTATCTGCCCCTCTCTCTCTGCCCCTCCCCTGCTCATGCTCTGTCTCTGTATCAAAAATAAATAAAAACATTTAAAAAAAAAAAAAGAAAGAAGCCTCATCACATGTTACAACATGCACAAACTTTGAGGATATGATGCTAAATGAAATAAGCCAGTAATAGAAAGCAAGATACTGTATGACTCCACTTATACAAGGTGTCTAAAGTGGTCAAACTCATAAAAGCAGAAAGCAGAATAGTGGTTGCCAAGGGCTAGCAAGGGCAGAGAAAAATGGGGAGTTGCTATTCAATGGCTATAGAGTTTCAGTCATGTAAGATGAAAAAGTTCTAGAGATCTAATGTGCATATAGTTAGCAATAATGTACCATACACTTAAAAAATGTGTTAAGAGGGTAGATTTCATGTTGTGCTCACTATAATAAAAAGGAAAAAAAAAAAAAAAAAAGATAACCCCAGTCACTCATCCAAGCTTAGTAACATTGCTTAGGCCTTAGCAGCAAATGAGGAAAACAGCTGGCTCAGCTTGGATAGGGAAATCTTAGTTGCTAGTACTTATTACAGTAAAATGCAGCAAGAAGGCAAGGTCTTAAGTGTTGATACAAGTTCTTGACCCAGATTATCTGGTCAACTTTTTTAAAAAAAATAATAATGCTGGCTTAAAAGCCAAATTGTATCACATGTAGTGTAGGCAAACAGCTTTTTTTTTTTTTTAATCCTACTAATCTGTCCTGTGTATGTATGGGTATATACACCCACATGCATGCAAATAATCCTTCACCATAGTACAACCTAGCCAAGAAGATAAAGCTGACTTATAAAGAAAGTGTTACCAAGAACAGAAGAAATACTTTAAATTTCCTATTCTGTACCTATACTGCTACAATGCTCTGATGAAATTCTTATAAAAGACCTGAAAGGACAAGACAACCCTCTGGAGTTCAAACCAACACCACTATTACCCACACAACCAATGTATGTCTTAGGACGGTACAGATGCAATTTGGAGTAGAGGCTTTCAAAATGTTTTTAGCTACAACTCACATGTATGTATTTTTCATATCTGTATACATTATCTATATAAAACTAAACAATTTCATCAAATAACATAGTTTAAATGAACATTACTACATATATGCACCTCTTTGTTCTATTTTGCTGCTTAATATTTTAAACACAGCGTACAGTACCAAAATTTCACAAACCACTAATGGACACAACCTAGTTTTAGAAACATTGTACTAGACCCACAACACTGAACACATGCTACGTGATTCAAAGTTACAAAGCATATAGCTAAATATCTATAATAAGAGCTTATAGTATACAAATATTTTACTATATTTTTTAATAGTTATTTATTCTTGAGGGAGAGAGAGCATGAGCAGGGGAAGGACAGAGAGAAAGGGAGACAGAGGATTGGAAGCAGGCTCTGCACTGAGAGCAGAGAGCCTAATGCAGGGCTCAAACTCACAAACTGTGAGATCGTGACCTGAGCTGAAATCAGATGGTCAACCAACTGAGCTAGCCAGGTGCCCCTATAATAAGGACTTTCTGATGCTGTTCACAAACACTTATGCCTTTGCTCTCTAGGTAGATGTGCTTAAATAATTTAAAAGCTGCTCTTTTCTCTGGGAAGTAAAAGGAAAAATTAAAACCTACCTTCTGTTCCCAGAATTCTAATGACTCCCAAGGTATGCACTGGAGAAAAACCATATTTGGAGAAGCAGTTCCAGCACAGAGTTAGAATTTCTCCAAAATTATAAATGATAATGTCGTAACTAAAATACAGTTTATGGGTGTCTGGGTGGCTCAGTCGGTTAAGCAACCAACTTCGGCTCAGGTCATGCTCTCACGGTCATGGGTTCAAGCCCCACGTAGGGCTCTGTGCTGACAGCTCAGGGCTTAGAGCCTGCTTCGGATTCTGTGTCTCCCTCTCTCTCTCTACCCCTCATCTGCTTGCTCTCTGTCTTTCTCTCAAAAATAAATAAAACATTTTTAAAAATTAAAAAATAAATAATAAAGTTGAATTATAAAGACTAAATAGTAACTACAAAAACCCATTTCCCTTCTCAAACAAAATAAAGCAGATAAAGTATGATTTTAAGTGTCAGCAGAAAAGGATTGTAAAATCAAAGAATACCTAGCCAATTTAAAAATGGGACTTCAAATCATCTTGAACAAAAACAAAAACAAATATGCTCAAGATTCCTTTTCAAAACCCCATCCTCTCTCCAGCAATGTCCCATACATTTTTTTTAATATCCTCCTTCCAACCACATTCCCATAAACTTTGTTTTACTTACCATCCTTCCCCCTTTAACTTACTTTTTTATGATACGAAGAAAGAACAGATGCCTCTAAAATAGGCTCCAAATTTCCTTGGTGGTTGTCATTATCACTTTTCCTTGTACCATCAAGTTGGTGCCCTTTTCTGAGCCTTATATCTGGCTCTGGAGTCCTGCTGCACCCCAATCGGTTTTCTGCTGTCTGGTTCATGGGACAATCAAGCCTTTCTTACAAAGAGATGTTTCTTTCTGTCCCTTCTTCTTGGGAGGATGGATTTTCTGGATACTGAGTTGACTCTAAGGAGAGGAAAGTTATGAATTAACATATTTTAAATAAACACATTAAATGAGTGCTGGAGGAAGATACAGGTTATGTTATACACTCAAACAAAAGAATGCTAAGCAATCATTAAGAAAAATAAAACAATGTATATAATATCTAGGAAAGATTGCCAAAATCTATTTGTAAATAAAAAAAAAGCAGTATACAAGACAATGCAGATAATGTTCCCAGAAGTTATAAAACTATAACTGTATATGTACACAGAGTAATTATTGGAAAATACTCAAAACTGTGCTTGGTACACAGAGAAGAAGTTATGGTCTCAAGTGAGAATTCAAATTGGACTAAAAATCGGCCAACTATTTGTTTAACAAATCATTTTGTTCTGTCTGCATTTTTTTTTTTTTTTACAATATGCCATTACTGTTTCAAATATACATACTATTTTACAATATACCATTACTTTTTCGATGAAAAACATACCTATCTGCAGAAAGAATACAGCTGGGTCTTACATATCTAATCTCATTTAAACATCACAATGACCCTACAGAGTATATTTTTTGTGTTTCTACTTTTCAGGTAAGGAAACAAAAATTCACCATACTTTGTATGAAACAGGACAAAGTCTGTGACTTTTATAGCACATATTATTGGTAATATTTTGCATATAAATTGCTTAAACATCTGACATTTCAGTATTTGAGTTGTTTTGAATTCTAACTAGACTACTCTGGAAGGCAAGAAACTCAGGACCAGAGAGAGCATACTCCTTTTACATTCCTTGAGTTCCCAGAAAGTACTATGCACATGAATGTTTAATGAATATATGATAAATAATATTTAAATGTTCTTTGTGTAAAAACACTTCCAGAAATCATCACTATCTCTCTAAACTAGACTGTAGTACGTTTCCTAGGTGTTAAATTATTTCAAGTCCTTGACCCTCTTAACTCACATGCAAAACTTAATTTAGACATGTAGTTATATACACTAATAAGGTCATTATCACAGCCAATCCAACTAGAAACACTAAAACATGATAAAGCGAGGGTATGTGTTATGCTATAAATCCCATGAGATTCAAAGTTCTTACTGGGGAAAAGGAGGAGTAGGGCAAAGTGGAAGGCCTGGATATTATAAAAAGAAGGTAAAATGTGGATCTGGTTTTCATATATATGGGTACTAAAACTAAGAATCAGTCCTAGAATTCAAACTGGACTAAAAATTAGCCAACTATACGTTTAACAAATCATTTGAGTTTGCTTCAGGATTTCTCTAAGGGCTTTCAAAGTTCTGGAGCAAGAACAAATACAAATCTTTAAGGATCACCAAAACTTAGCACATTCCTATCACATAAGGACCTAAGCAAGCATATTAATAATATTGAGATTATAAACTATGCTATTAATGCCAAATTCTGAAAGAGAAAACAATGTTAATGATTTCTGTTTATTTATGTACACTTCACAAAGCTATTTCACACCCACCATTTCATTTTGTTTCAGGGAAGAGGAAGCTAACATTTACTGCAGATCAACAATTCAACAAAGTTAAATTCCATACCAGAGAATTTACAGGTGGTATCTCACATAACCCTAATATATAGCCCCCTGGGATATTTTATCTCTGATTTTATAGATGTGGAAACTGAGACCTGGAGATTAGTTAATTTATTCAAGACCATTAGTCAAGAGGAGCAGCTGGAATTTATATCCAGGTCTTTCTGGCCTGCACAATATCCATGTTCTTTCTATACCCAAAAGATTAAGATTGGGGGGAAAAAAAGATAAAAACTTGAACCCTAAAGTCATTTGGCTCATATGGCAAGTAAACTACAGAATCAGAATCTTTATTCACAAATTGTAGCAAGTAAAATAAAGTTTACTGCAAAGTAGCCTTGAAATATGACCACACTAAACTTCTCATAAGTGGGAGCTATACATGGAGGAGTATTGCTCATTTATGAGAATATAAATGGAATGTTCTATTAAGTTAGAATTGTTTTGTAATCCACAACTCAGAAAAAAAAAAAAAGCAAATAATAAGAAATAAGTTTTCCAGGGGCACAGTCGACTAAGCTCTCTGATTTCAGCTTAGATCATGATCTCGTGGTTTGTGAGTTTGAGTCTTGCGTCCAGCTCTGCACTGACAGTATGAAGTCTGCTTGGGATTCTCTTCTGTCTCCCTCTCTTTCTGCCCTTCCCCTCGCTCACCAGCACTCTCTCGCAAAATAAATAAACAGAAAAGAAAAGAGAAAAAAGAAAAAGGAAAGGAAAGGAAAGGAAAGGAAAGGAAAGGAAAGGAAAGGAAAAGGAAAGGAAAAGGAAAGGAAAAGAAAGGAAAAGAAAGGAAAAAGGGAAGAAGGGGAAGGAAGGGAAAAGGGAAGGGGAAGGAAGGGAAAGGGGAAGGGAGAGTAGAGTGGCAGGAGCAGGGAGGAGGAAGAAAATCTTAGGTCTGTCCCACCAAATATCTTATAGATCTTCTGCTGCATGGCCTTCATAAAAGAAACACCATGACAACTGGACTTACTCCTAGAATGAAAGACTAGTTCAATACAGATAAATCCATCAATGTAATACATCACATTAATAAAATGAAGGAAAAATACATAAGCATCACAACTGATTCAGAAAAAACACTTGACAAGATTCAACACCTTTTCATGATAAAAACACTCAGTAAAACAGGAAGAGAAGGAAATGTTCACATAAGTCATATATGAAAAAAACCATAGCAAACGTCATAATAGTGAAAGACTTAAAACTTTCTCTAAGATCAGAATTTTGTACTTCGTGAATCTGTTCCAATATAAATTTAATAATTCTAAAAATTAATAAAAAATGAAAATAGTCACAAGCACTAAATATAGTTTTTACTACCAAAATCATTAAGTATAGGTACCTTTTAAGATTTTCCAAGTATTCAGGGGTGCCTGGGTGGCTCAGTAGGTTAAGTGTCTGGCTCAGGTCATGATCTCACAGTTCGTGGGTTCGGGCCCCACACTGGGTTCTGTGCTGGCAGCTCAAAGCCTGAAGCCTGCTTTGGATCTGTGTCTCCCTCTCTCTCTGCCCCTCCTCTGCTCATGCTCTCTCTCTTTCTCTCCCTCAAAAATAAGTAAACATTAAAAAAAATAAAATTTTCCAAGTATTCAGAACATAAAAGAAAATTAAGCATTCCTTTCTGCATTGTTTTCTTTTTTAGAGAGAGAA